AAAATGCCAAATATCACATGTTCATGAATAATGCACGACATAGACACACAGCCACATTAGAAGGCCACCCTTAATAGAAGGCCACCCTGAAAAGTCTGATGTGAATTTCCATAATAGAAGGCCATGGCCTTTTATTCTGGGGGGGAGTTTATGGTATTATCTGAAGCATATTTTTTATCGAACAACAAGAAAGATATTTATTAAAAATATAACCATTACAAAATATAAATTATGATTGGTTAAAAATTGGCTCTAAAGTATTTATTCATGAACATGTGATATTTGGCATTTTATCAAAGAGCAAAGTTCGTTTAGTATCATTGGAAAATATCATTGAGAAGGCATGCTTCTACAATGACAATGAAGCCTGTTACTTTGCTCGCTATCCAAATTTTTATGAATCTTGTTAAATATTTTTTATTTTTTTTTCATTCCATCTTACTTGCTAATAAGATAAGCAACTCTTCTTTTATATTAATTGAAACAAAACAATCTGCATTATAAATGAGTTCTTTCTATAAAATTTTCTAAAAAAACAATACTTTCTTTTGTAGTTCCACTTCGCTTATTTTACAACAAAATAACATTTTCAAAAAACTATAACCGAGAGTATTTGTTATTAGCCGATCTATTTAATTTGCACCACGATTTGAAACAAACGCATTACGTAATCTTGTTGTCGGACTAGATCAAACTCCATCTGTTATATCGACTTAAATAATGAATGAGTACTCATACGTATATTCAAAATCATTAGAGACTTCGTCACACATTAACCAAAGGTCACCGCTATATAAACTGCTAACATCACTAAGCCGAATACCGCGCTTATGATTGAGTACATCGTGGTATATGAAACCGGTCACAACCGCTATATTCAATACCGCGGTGAACCGCGGTTCTCTCCAAAACTTTTTCCATAGGAAGGCTTTACATTCTATATAATATATCAATGCTTTCGTAGATATTCGAAAAAAAGCTATTTTGAAGTTTAAAAAACAGGTATCAGGATAGCAATTTTAAAAGATATACGTGAGTTCCACATTTCAGCTCGTTTGGAGCTGCGCTAACAAGCTTCTCTCAAGTGAATACACTTGACGCAAGATTCTCACTCCCGCTTAAACTTCTCAAGCCACATATTTTTGTCGGATAAAATTGAAATGAAGGCTTATGCTATCGGCTTGTTCTCAAAAATAACTACTGTATACGGGAATAAATTAAATAAAATAAATTTGAATAACTTGAGCAAAAATTATTAATTCAAAACAAATAATAATTAAATGCAGTACAATTTGAGAGCGTAACGATATAATGTATTTCACATTTATTAAAATGAAGAAAATACATCTATTATAGAAATTCATGAATTTTCGACTTTATTTGAAAGTCATCATCAGATGAACTATTCATACCACCACCAACTGAAGAAACAGAATCATTTGTACATTTTATAGCATTAACAATTTGTACACCTATAGCCATTAACAGAAACAGAACAATTATTATTAACATCATAACAAGCTTCAATAACATATCCAACATTACGTATATAAGATGTGATTAAATATTAAATGCTCATTATAACTGCAATGTATAGTAATAAATTAAACAAATAAATGTGGTGGTATGAATAGTTCATCTGATGATGACTTTCAAATAAAGTCGAAAATTCATGAATTTCTATAATAGATGTATTTTCTTCATTTTAATAAATGTGAAATACATTATGTCGTTACACTCTCAAATTGTACTGCATCTAATTATTATTTGTTTTGAACTGTACACGTGAACCAAAGCATGATAATGTTACATCCGTCACAAAACTTAATTAGTCGTCTCGGATTATGATAAGTTCTGAAATTACTTTTTTGTTCTATTTATGAAAAGAAAACACTACATAGCAAACAACAACGACGAACTACAGGAGAAAACATGAGTTGTTTCTTGTCGAAGGTTATGCTGTTTGATTTACATTATTTGGTGTTGCTGCTGTAATTGTCGAAATGGCTTGCGTCACTTGCTGACACCCGCTGTATGTCGAAAGTAATTTTCTGAAAAACTTATTTCTTAACGATTTTGACGAGCTGAGATAAATGTAGAAACTGACGGCAAAATTTAAATAAAAAAGAAAATTAGTGACTGTGGTACAAAGATTTTCTTTCGCCGCTCTTAAAGCATCCTTTTGTATTTGGTTTGTTATTGCATTGTACAGGCTGTTTATTGTATAAGGTACTGTTGATATGGTAATCGAAGAAACTTGCAACAGTAACATTCTTGTTAGTTGATATTCCTGACGTTGATTTGTGGATAAACGTTGCTGCTGTGGTTCGATGCGTCGTCGGTGGATTTTGTGTATATTTTTCCATGCCAACAATCCAAATGCAACAAAAATTGCTAATGGTAATAGATTGTAGAGAATTAAAATGATAAAATAATTTAGATAATATGCATAAACTGTCGATCGATTAACACAAACAGTTTGATTTGCTGCAGTTGGATAAATGTTGACCATTATCACGATTGGTAAACCGTGTAAAGACCAGAAAACAACTGTTGAGACACACAGCAACCGTGCTGTTGACATTTTACTCATCTGCCGAAAGTGAACTTCACGACAGCTGATTAAGTATCGATCGATTGTCGCCCAGCTGACACATGTCAACGATGTTAATATGGAAACGTGACCCAAATATTGTCGTGCTTTACAGAGAAATAGGTTTGTCTTTGTTACATCATATTGTAAACCGATTAAGATACGCAATGAAAGTGGAATGACAATTGCAATTAAACTTGAAATTGATGCAGTAAGTAAATAAAATTGGCATGGACTGGGTGGGAATAATTTTCTCGATAAAAACATCAGAATATTTAAACAATTTCCAATAAGACCACTGATAAAGACTGGAATGCCAAAGTAAATTGTAAACTGTTGAGATATCAATGTTAGAGATGCAACGGACGACATTCTTTTTTCTTTTATATTGAATTCTAAACGAAGTTTCTCATATTTATATTTTACTATTTAGAAATGACACATCAATTTTCTATAATACTGTTTTCAACAAAAAATAAGAAGCATAATGCCATCACCATCGATAATTAAAATTATTAATGAGATAATGCATTTGGCGTCAAATTTACAGAGATCTCTGTTTTGATTTTGACGTCAAACGCATTATCTCATTAATAATTTTAATTATCGATGGTGATAGCATTATGCTTCTTTTTTTCTGTTGAAAACAGTATTATAGAAAATTGATATGTCATTTCTAAATAGTAAAATGTACATATGAGAAACTTCGTTTAGAATTCAATATAAAAGAAAAAAGAATGTCGTCCGTTGTATCTCTAACATTGATATCTCAACAGTTTACAATTTACTTTGACATTCCAGTCTTTATCGGTGGTCTTATTGGAAATTGTTTAAATATTCTGATGTTTTTATCGAGAAAATTAGGGTGTGGGTGTGGAGTACGGATTTGAATGGACGATGAGTGTGGGGGTCGAGGAATATGCCATCGTGGTCCTCTAATAGATAAAAACACACAAAACTAACCCAGTGAAAATATATCAGATTATGCCAGATTATAATCGAATTTTTGTGCAACAAAAGCAAAGTTATAATGGACTGAAATGTTCGAAATCAACGATAATTCGACTTAATCAAAAAACAATCTTCGAAATCAAGTGTAATTTTGATTAAAATCATGCATTTTTATTTCATATGATTTTAAACAAAACTATGCGATTTTAACCAAAATTATTCTTGGTTTAGAAAATTATTTTCGATTAAAAATCAAATTATTGTTGATTTCGAAGATTTGAGTCGATTATAATTTTCATTTTGTTGCACAAGAATCTGATTATAATCTGGCATAATCTGATGCAAGTCAGATATTTTTTCACTCTGCAACTCACACATGCATCTACACGTATGGACACCCACGCCTACCCAGCCACCCCACACGTGGCACCCTCACCTTTGGACTTGTGCACAATGATACGAATCAGAGCATAATCAACCGTCATTGCAACACAGAGCAGATTATCACAAAGAACAAACGACGATGCACTGATATGCTTTATCTGGAAAGAAAAGGATGAGTTATTTGCACAGTGAAAATGGATGTGGATGAAGATCATATCAAAACCCATACTCAATTGATTAATAAAATTTTTCTTTGAAGTCCTTTCAGTTGAAAAGCAGATAAGACACGTAAAATAGAAAAAGAAACGTGTGTATGTTGTAGCATGTTGAAAAATCTTCTTCTTTCTTTATAAAAATGAGCCAACAGCACATTCACAAGTTCAGTAACAGAAAGATAAAACAAGCAATATCTTTCCTTCTCCCTTTTCTTTATCATGAGATACTGTCTTTCTGTCATTAAAAAAAATTGAAGAGATAACATTTTGTTGATGTTTGACTTGGACAATGATGGAAATACCCAAGGACCCCAAAGATTCTGCATGGGAAGTTGAAAAATCGCCATTTTCTGATTATTTTTCAAGTGAACTTCCGAAAAAATCTAACATTGTCATCATTGGCACTGGATTCACTGAAATTTCCATTGCTTACCATATTTTGAACTCCTCTCCTACATCGTCTGTAACGTTGTTAGAAGCGAGACAAGTATGTTCTGGTGCAACAGGCAGAAATGGAGGGCATTGAACACCGAATATTTATTCTACTATACTCTCGCTATTATCCAACGGATTTTTGCCTGCTCAAATTGTTCAATATGCACAATTTGAAATCGACAATTTCGAAACAATCGTGAAGATGATTGCAGAGGAAGAACTAGACTGTGAATTTGTTCGTAAAGACAACTATAACGTCCCTTTTTCTACAAATGAATTCGAAGAAATGAAGAGGAATGTAGATATGATGAGAACTATAGGAGGAGCAATCTCCCAAGTTCGAATCTATCAAAATCCAGAAGCTTCAAATATGGTTGGAATGAAATGCGAAGGACTCGTTGTCCATAAATATAGTGGGTCTATACAACCTTATAAAATGGTGACTGGTCTTTTGCCCACTTTATTCAAAAAGTTTGGAGATAGAATAAAATTGTTTACGCATACACTGGTTGAAAAGGTCGACAGTAACACTATGCATACGAATCGAGGAACTATCGTCGCTGAAAAGATTGTCTATGCAACAAACGAGTATACTTCCCTTCTACTCCCTCAAATGAAAGATGTTATCATCCCGGTTCGTGGACAAGTCATTCAATCGAATCCAGTTGATAGATTTATTCAAAATAGTTCGTTTAACCATGGTGGAGAATATCTCTCTCAAAGACCCACCAAGAAAGTAACTCTCGGTGGCGCCCGTCGATTCTCTGTCATCGCAGAAATCAACACAATAGATGACTCTATAATAAACGAAAAAGTGAGCGTCGAATTACAAAGGCTTTGAGAAAATTTGGGTGGCGGAAGAGTTGAGATGGAGTGGACGGGAATCATGGGATTTACGAAATTTGGAACTCCAGTGGTTAAGGAAGTTGATGGAGGAGTTATCTGTGCGGGATTCAGAGGACATGGGATGACTCGCATCTTCCTTTGTGCAAAAGAAGCGGCAAGACTCGTTCTTCAGTTGGATGAAGGACAAATTACACCGTTTGGATTCGGCCAAGTACGACGAGTAACACCTGACGATATTGGAAGTCGTAATCCTCTTGAATGATTTATTGTACCTATGCATCGTTTTATGTATTTTTTTCTATTTTAACCTTCGTTGAGTCTCAGTTTCTTTTTCAGCGAGAACATCGTTGAATGACTCTTCTAAGCGAAAAATAAGTGAGAATGTCCGACATGGCTAGTAGGATATGAACAATACTCGCCAGGACAAGTCTGAAATGTCATGCATATCCGTCATGACTGATCGGCTTTACGATAAATGACCTTCGACAACGTTTGGTCTAGTCCAGAACCTGCTTACATTCATCATATCTAGACCGTTTTATCTATCCTTTCTCTGCAAATGTCCACTTATTTACTGTACAAACTAGGATTTCTATTCTTCAAAGTGTGCACTCAGGTCGAAAAGTACGGGCCGGTTGCGGGAGGAAAACAACGGAAATAGCCGGAATATAGAAGCAGTATTCCGGCCGGAAATTTTCGGAATTTTTTCCGATGATTTTCCGGTCGGCTCCTGTCGGAAAATACAGGAAATTGGTCGGAATTCACCGGAAAAAATTCGGAAATTTTCCGGCAGGAATACTGCTTCCATGTTCCGGCTATTTCCGGTATTTTCCTGCAGGATACGGTGATTTTTCCCGCGTTTTTCTGTCGGTTCCTGCAGTATCCGGTGGCCGGAATGGTTGACCTGGGCAACTTCGTAAATCGTATTACAGCCAACTGTTTTATGGTGCGGGTGTGTGAGTGTGGCGTGTGCGGTATGGCGGCGAAATTTCCATGATATTATTTTGAGATTTATTCATTTTAGGGCTGTTAAGTTAATTCACTAAGATAATGAAGTCATCGATACAAACTTATCTGTTAAATATTTATACCCGAGCGGAATAACTGTTCGTTGTCAATCAGATTTTTGACTGGAAGGAAAACTTGCCATGATTTTATATGATCATCGATAGTATTCAGAAGAGTACATGTGTCAATTTTGGACTGTATTTCATCGCATAGATTATTGATGTAGTTAGAATTGACATTTATTCGAAAATCAATTTGCTAATCACGAGGTTAAATTTATAAGGCTATTTATTCATTTATATAAGAGACTCGAAAACAACCAGTAACAATAAAATATCTTTTACCATTTGCAATATTTTTTTTGTTGATTGGATTTTGAACATAGTCTCTTCATCTCGGTTTTTTCATTTTGGTATTCACATTGTCAGTGACCGTATTTCCGTTAACATTTTCTTTCTAATGCCCATTCAGAAAAAAAGGTGGGTGGGTATTTTTACAATAACTTTGCTCCAAAACTACCTGTAGAGTTCGGGTTGGTGTCGTTTGAAAGAGGCTTATCCAGTGCATCGATCCATATAAAATTGTTGAGGTTCATTTCATGAGCACATAGTGATCCATGATCACGTAGGAAGAGTAGACTGCTGTGCTATGAAAATAAAATGGGTTTTAAATTTTGAGTAGTGAATTAGAATCGCCAACTGACGGCCTACAAATCTACGAAAGGCCGAAACTTTTATCTTAATTTGTTCAAAAGTTATAAGCCAAATACTAACGCTATCTGACCGGATTTTTGTTAATTTTATCTTGCGCGTAGTATTTTTCAAATTATCATTACCCATGTTTTCGATCATGACGGATCGATAGGCAATGACTATTTCGTTATTCAACGAGTCTTTTTCTATCAAAACATTATTATCAGTGGCTGCATAATGTTGTTTTCATGCGTGATTACATTGTCAACTTGGAATATGTACATCACATTTTACAGATATCCACTACTGTAAGTGATACATTTCAGCTCGCGACTTTTATTGACAAAAACCTAAAGGAAAAAAGAAGACCAGCCCCTATTATTAATCGACTATCTCTTCTACTTCCGAACTGGCTTCTTCCTCCTCATCCACCAACTGCTCCTCGATTTCTTCAGTGAAGCGATCTGACTTCTTGAAGATGTCTTCAACCTTGCGTGTTTGATTGAAATAGCCAATAGCAGTTTCTCTACTCAAGGACGTCACCCCTTGGTAGGCCAATTGTCGAACATCATTGAGGCTAAAACTAACGTTTTTGTCTAGTACATAATTTTTTAGTCTATCCCATCCTATCTCAATTGGGTTGATGTGAAGTTTCTCTTTGGGGATGTATACTATGGCTTTAGCCTCCGGAACTATCGTAGGCTAAATGAAAATAATATATGACACTAAACTATCTAATGATGAGAAATCTCACGTAAAAATGCCTACCGTACTTTTGGAATAATATATATATAATATATATGTAAATCCAACCCAATCTTTATTGATGAATATCAATAAT